CTTTCCCCTCCCTAGCCGATTTAACTGAGAAGGTGGCGGAGTTCGACAGCAAGTCCCCAAACTTGCAGAGGAAAACTTCAATGGTACAGAGGAAGGGTTATACCAGCGATGAAGACTTTGATGATTTGGATGATCCCCTTGCCTCCATAATCGATCGAACTCCTCCAGTTTCCCCAGCAGTATCAGGAGATAAGGGCCTGCAATACTCATTTTCAAGCGTGAGGTACAAACTCCTACGTGAGGTTTGGTTCGACTGAGCAGTTCCATGTTTGTATTGTTTGTATGATATGAGAACTAGTTGTTATATTGTAGAAAATTTATGTAGTATCAGTCTGGTACAGTAGTTTAAGTTTCAGGTCAGATTATTTCCTAAACTTAGTGCAGTATTGTTTCAGATTGTAGAATGTCTTGTGATAATTTATTGTCTGGTGGAACAATTGATTGATAAAATGTTTACAGGTTTAGGATTTTCAACTACTTTAAGACATCGTTAAAATTTTTGTTTTGACTCGTAGGTTTTCTGCTGAATTTTAAGTTAAACTTCACGCAAAAAGAGAAAAATAGTAATTTAAGCTTCAGATCATGGGTTTCCAAAGTACAGAAGAAAAGATTGAATAGAGACTGGGAGCTGTTTGGTTCTGTAGGTTATTTACTTTTCGATGGCTGATTTGTATAAAAGCTCTAATTTTTACCAAATTCTGCTTCCTGAAATCATTATGATCGGTTAGAGTTTGAAGTTTGTAGGAAATTGAGCGAGACTACGATGATAAATTCGGCACCATATTCTTAAGCAGTATCCACTGAGACAAAATGTCATTTGTAACTTAATTATGATGTAAAGAATGCTGTGCCACATTTTTATTATATTAATTTAATTTTTATTGATGAAGAATAAGTTTTATCAGTTTAAGTTTTTCGGACTATGATTTGTTATCTGACTTGTTTTATGCTTAAACAACTTAACATTTCATGCAGATTCTTATTGATTCTATGAACTGATATCTTAAAACGTGCTCTTTCGCATTCTCTGTTGATTTAAAAGGAATGAAGGGGCATTAAAGTCACATACCACCGAATTTCCATGTATTTATATATCTAGTACTTACTTCTTTCATTTTTACCACTCAAATTTTTTATATCATATCAAAAATATTTTTTTTTAATTTTTAAAAAGTGAAATACATATTTTCATGTAAAGATAAAATGATTATATATTGAGTTTTTCCTTTTTAACTTGGAAGATCTTCTTGGTTTCAAGGTATTATATATATATTATGTGTTTGTGTTGTTGGGTGTGATAAAATGAAGAAAAATATAAAAGTAAAAGTTGTTTAGGTGTTAAATTGTAAAAGTGTTTTGTTGTTAGGTATGTAAATGGTATAGAATTTAGTATTTCTAAGATGACAATTGACCTCTAGGGATGTAAACGAGCCGAGCTTGAGTGAGCTCAAGCTCGTGTAAGAAATCGGTTCGTGAACAGTGTGGTCGTGTTCGGTGTTCGTGTTCGGCTCGAAATTGACTTGTTAAAATTAAATTGAAAAAAAAAAAAGATGTAAAATATAGAGTTCTAACCTGGACTAAATTTATACCAAATAAGACACTAATCATATTACCACATGAGATATTATGATTTAAACTTATATATAAATATATATAATATATAATTACATAAATATTATATATGATTTTTTTTTTGTTTCAAGCTAAAACGAGCCGAACATTAGTGAACAAAGAGCTGTTCATGTTCTGCTCATTTATAACTCGAGCTTTTGAAACTTGTTTGTGTTTAACTTATTTACTTAACGAACGAGTTAAACAGAGCTACTTAACGAGCCGAACACGAGTTGTTCGCGAACAACAAACTTTTTTGACAGCCCTATTGACCACATCTTTATTAGACTGCAGCAGTAAAAAATCACAGGGCCCTCAAACAAATTGGTCGGGAAAAAAAAAAAAAAAAAAAAAAAAAAGACAAGGGATATTTACATGAGATATTAAAGGGTTAAAACATATTTTTATTGAACACGGTATAATTTAGTGCATATTAATATAAATAAAGTTATTTAAATATAAATTTTATAAATATAAAAAGTTTAAATGTTTGCCGCCCTTAAAGATCAAGATATTTGAAAGCTTGCCAAATGCCTTGATCAAAAGAGTAGTTTTAAAATTTCACAGAAATGGTTTGGAATTTCCATTACTTCCGTATTATTAATATTTTAAAAATGTAAAATAAAGAAATTTATCTAATTAGAATTATGCCTTACAGAATTACTTAACTGAAAGGTAAAATAAAATAGGCATATTTTTTAAATAAATTATATAATTATAATTGAATTCAGAATTTTTTAAAAAAATTAGTAGCTTTTATTAAATTTATAAAAAGAACAAAATCAAATTAATGTCAATAGAAAAACAAATCAGAATTACTGGAACTTGAAAACCATGGCAATTCAGAAATACATGAAGTATCTGACGACATAAACCGAACAATTGGAAGACAGTATAAGATGTCAGGCAAATAGCACAAAAACACGGCAATTCAGAAATACAGAAGTATAATCCAATCATGCAGCGCAAGAAAAGCTGGCCAGATAACATAAACTTGAATCATTTAAGAGCTCCGAAGGTTTCTTCAATCAGCCTCATCAATAACCTTTGTTCCCAACCCTTTGAGACCCTCCGGAGGGACCTCAGCAACAGTAACAAGTGAATAAAACTCTTCCTTGGCATCTTCTTCCTCGTTTCTTTTGCGAGCAATTCTCACGCGAACTCGCCTTGGAACGCTTCGGATTCCTCTACTCCAGATCTGCTTATTGACCTTAACATCGATTCTTATGTCCGTCGTACCCATTGCCTTTTGAGCAAACTTTCTGATCTCTTTTATGGCCTTGGGGGCTTTCTTTTTGAAAGTGCTGCTCAACAACAGATGAGATTAAACTCTGAGGTTTTCATGCAGACGCATCTTATTTTCTGATAATAAGCATGCTTAAATTATAAATCATAAATAGAACAATTTTAAAGATCACTATGAATATTGAAGCTAACTGCACAGAATGAAAAGCTTACTGCACTATAGGAAATGTAGTTGGTAGCAAATTGAAGCATTCAAAAAATGAGATTTCCAAATAAAATTGAATCTTCAGAGTAGATTTTCTTCTCTTAGAAGTAGGTTTTTTTTTTTTTTCCCTATTGCACATTTATCATTTCCAAAAAATTTACTCATTCAGCTTAGTGCCTCACTAACATCATACAGATAAATGTAAATTTTTACTCATTCAGCTTAGTGAACAAGATTGGCTTACAACCTTATCACACAAGGTTTTTAACCTTTTTCCCTTGTACCCAATCGTTTTCTTATTGAATCACAATATTCTCTGCTCAGCTCCTTTATGCTTAAGCACAGCACAAAAACAGGACAACGAATGTATAGTCTAACTACAATGGAAAACCAGAAAGCTTGTGCGCGTAACAACCAGAGCTTTAACTACAATGGAAACAATAGGAATATTGCAAAACCTTGCACTCTCCAACGCCTGCTAGAAATTGGTGGTAATAGTGTAAATCATACACAACGGGTTATAAATATTAATTTCCGAATTGCATGTACTTCAATTACGGCATTTCAGCAAAAGTGCTTTGATTTAGCTAGTTTTACTATATTATCAACCTCATCATTGTAATGATTCTTCATGTTATTAGAATATATGATGCAAATGTATCATGGAAGACTAAGGATGCTGGCTTAAAGGTTTAAGCTTTAGGCTTCTATTTCTGAAAAGATATTGAAGCCGTGTCTAAAGATCATCATTGAGTTTTGTTTAATTAATTTCTTAATTTAATTTGGTTCAATGACTCCTGTTTTATAAAAGCATTATTGATATCAAAATTCAATCTAGTAGACAATCAATTAGCTCGTATATGATATCACTTTGGGAATCTGAAGAAAAATAAGATTACATTAGTTAAAATTTTAATAGTTTTATTTCTCCGTGAAGTTGTTGGCAGTGGTGATTCTCAAATTTCACAAATGAGTATCGTTAGATATTATAAATAGGATACATATAAATGATGTCAAGGCTATAAGCGCTGGCGTATAGGATCAAATTTAAATTAGAATAAAATAAATTTGAAAACTTTTAACATTTTCAATATGTTTCTATTTAAATTCAATTCAAATAATTTTGTTGGAATTTTTGTTGATGTTAAACCCATCTAGGTTTGTGATATGATTTCTTAGCAAAAATTAAAGCAAAAACATATTTTATTACGAGTGCATCAAATACTCAAAAAGTACCTACAATTCGAGAGGGAGATAATCTTTCCCAATTCCTAAAATTTTAAAAGTACGAAATCTCTCTCAAACTCTAAATCTAAGATCCTAGACAGTCTCATACATAAACCTAACTCTAAATATATTAGTCATATTTATACTAAACAATCATAAATGACAAAACTAAATTGCCCTTACGTGCACAGAAGAAAATTTTTCTCTTAGACTAAGCACTGGCGTAACAATAGCCCCCTCCCAAAAGACATTGTCCTCAAGTTGGAATACAGTGAGGGTGTCCCTCCTCCACAACTGTGTTTGTTTCATCATCCTCTGCCTCTTCGTCATACACTGTGAAAACTTGCAATGTTCGATTCTTGCAGCTGTCTTGGGACAAACATATCATTACATCGAAAATAAAACAACTTGGCTCGATTCTCCTGAATCTGTCACTGTAAAGCACTTAAAGACCATTCCTGGTCGTGATATTACCCATGATTCTTGTCATGTAAAGTCTCTATCTGGATTTCCACTATTTGAAATTTTGGTATTATTGTGGTTGTAGCAATTTGATATGGTGCTCCACGTATGTTGCTCCTATTACCTGTTCCATTGCATTTTTATCTTCAACTAACTGTGCTAATTCTATAGTTTTCCCCAATCCTCACAATCTAAACAAATTGATGCTCAAAATTCTAGCTTCAACCATTTCATGAAGTTGCCTTCCAATATTTCTTCTAATATCCCTCTCAAACAGTCGGATAATATCTCAAATTTATCCTTGTAGTTCATGACAAATCCTTCCTAAACTAAAGTAAGAAATTGCATGTGTAAATCCCCTCCAAGCGTGGTTTTGAACGCGCTACACCATTAGGCCATTGCCCATGTTCAGATTGGTTCGTGTTATTCTCTCCACTAAAAACTTGTTAGAGCTATTTCTTTCAAACACAAAGCCATCGCCAACAATTTTTCTTCATCCATCAGCCCATTAACAACAAAATATCTCGCCACACGATAAGCCAAACATAGGTATCCTCTACTTCAAAGATCGGCATCTTTAGCTTCCTTATGCATGAGTCACCTCCCCAATTTCTTTGACAAAAGTTCATTCCACCAAAAAAATGAGGGTTGGGCTCCCATCCTCAACTCATATTGATTTCTTTTCTTCCATAAGTCGGCTAGCCTCATAATCAATTTGACCATCCTCAAAGGCTCCCGAATAACTTTTCACTTAAAAGGCAACTATAACAAAAGGCACTAACACTGTCAGATGCAACCCTCGGTCAGGGTCCCATCCACTTGTGCTCCCTATTCCAGACCAAAATCCTTCGAATTGGTCCTCTCCAACCATGAATCCTGTGATATCCCATTCTGCTTGCTGGCGCTCATTCCATCCATCCAAATGTCAAGTTATTTCTTCCAAGTATTGTCGCTCAAGTTCGCTTATAGTTCCTTCGCTCGATCCCACTGTAGGCGGTGGCGGGTTTGTGCAGGACTACGTGATCTTCTTTATCATTTCTTCTAGGGTTGTAAACCTAGCTTCCATGACCGAGAAACACTACTCAAGATATGATTTGACTCACCTCTTCCTAAAATTTCTTCTCCAAACCATCTACTTTCTTGGTCGTGATTATTTATGTACTCCTTCACACTGAAATTGAAAAGTTTGGAATTTTTGTACTTGATTTTGGCATGTGTGGAGCTCTAGACATCAAGATCCCTGAATTCCTGTATGCAACTTGGCACAGGACTATTGGAAGCGGCGCAGAACTCAAGAAGCGGCGATCTGAATTCCTACGTAGGTTTGATGTGGCATATTCTGTTGTCTGGATCTCGCAATAGGGATTCCAGTCAATATCAAATCTCGGTCGCAAGTTTCCATCAAGATCGGCACAGAACTCCATTACGCTGCAACCTGATCGCGTATTTCGATCAAGAACGGTGCAAAACTCGTGTACGCCATGATCCATTGCGTATACACCGCAATAGCATGTGTTGGTTACCCTAGTGAATGTGACATCGAAGTTCAGTCCTGAAGGAGCACCAACACACTACATTCCCGTTACAATCTTCTTGGATACCTCTAATCACGCTGTCTCATGAGATTTGACCCTCGTGATCCTATCCATTCAAGGCCCAGGGCGCCACAATTTCGTCCTTCCTTCCCCACAATTTCGGCCCAGGGCGCCACAATTTCGTCCTTCCTTCCCCGCTAGCTCTAATCAAGAAGGTATAGTGATATTAGGTCACAGCGACCCGAACTTCCTGTACTCGCAGCGATTTATATCGCGACAGTTTCGACGAGCAAATACGCAATATCAAGTGGCTTCCTAGCAAATGTGATGCGATATGTTCGGCTTCCCACAAAAATCGTGCGGTGAATGATCGATGCTCTAATACCAATTTTATACGATTCTTGCAAAATTAGGGCGAACAATATTCTATTGCAAGGACATCAAACACTCAATACGAATTCAAAAATAAGCACCTAAATTTTGAGAGGTAGGCGATCTCTCCCGATTCCTAGAATACGAGAGGTTGGAAATATTACTCAAACCCTAAACTTAAGACTCCAGACACAATCTCATGCATAACCCTAACCTTAAACATATTAGCTCTATTTATACTAAACAATAATAAATGACAAAAGACTAAATTTCTCTTAGTCACACAAAAGATATAATTACCCTTAGTCTAGGCACCGGTATAACCGTTTGTTCCAGTAAATAGGGTTCCTTTGTTTGTAAAATTAGTTTGGGTGTGGATAAAATTTTTCTCTTCAATAATTCTCTATCAATAGGTTTTAAATTCTACAAAAATCAATAATAAATCTGAATTTTTCCCAAATCCTTTTTACCCTTTCTTCTCAGCCATTGATTCTCAATTTGCAAGAGGTTATATAGCCATTGTTGAAGGGAATTTGTTATCATCTTTGTTATTTGATGGAGTGTTGATTTCGGACTACATAAAAGAATGGAGAAATTATTGAAAGAAAATAGTGAAGCTATGCCAATTTGAGTTTGAAACCAAGAAAAAGAAAAGGGAACCAGAAAAAGAAATGGGAACCAAAAAAAGAAAAGGGAACCAATCTACAATGAGAAAACTAATTTGAAAGAAGATCTAAGGACCAAGTTACCATACAAGCATCATTAATTGGAGCAGTACAAAAAAAAAAAGATACGAAGATAAGAGAGAGAGGTTTGCTTCTTACGTTGGAATGCATCAAAAGTCAATAAAGAGGCAAGAAGCATAAGAAAGACAGAAAATTCTAATCAACAAAGTGGCTAGTGGAACAGATGGTCAACAAGATGGAGTGAATAAAAAATCAAACTACAACTATGACTGGAGGACCATGTTGTAATCATCCTACTCTCATGACAAACAAAAACATGGTTAAAAAAAGATGAAAATAAGGACATGGCAAACAATGATGTGGTCGATCAAACTGGAAGCCAAAGTGAAAATCTCTACTTATGATGGAGCAGCAGTTGATGCTGAGATGCTTGAATGCTAATAGAGACTTCTTTGCCTAACTAAAGTAATTATGCCTTGGCGTAGTTGAGAGCCCATCTTAAGATGAATGACTAAGAACAAGTGACGTTGGTGAATATTCAAAAAGTTGAAACATTGAGAGCTACTCAATAG